TCATCAAAAAATGAAATATTGAGGAGAAAAGAAAATTCTGGTATATTTTTGCTTTTTTCCATTGTTTCCTGTATGTTCGTAGGTGCGGGATTTTAGATTTCTAGATGTTTCGCCATTTTTATGAATGTCACACTAAAAGAACATAATTCATTACGCGGGAAATACTGAGAGGGAGTTCTGATAAATATTTTCCATCTATAAACACACGTCAAATACACTTTATTATATCATCAAATTTGATAAAATCTATATTTAAAGAATCAAAGATATGTCTACCTACAACCACAAGCAGTGTAACTTAAATTTTTTCACCCTCACACAAAACGTCTCCAAATCAACGAGGACAATTACCAGACATAGATTAAGATGGCTTCTAGACACACATACCCACACAAACGAATACACATTATCAACTGAATCCTTTATAATCAAACCAGAATTATGACACACACACACGTATACATTATATACACGAACAGTCTTTGACAGAACAGAAGCTCTTTGAGGTCTACACGACAAATGAAAAACAAATAACACAGGAATATACAAATTCCAGAATTTTCTTTTCTTCTTCATATTTCATTTTCTGATGAAGCTTTAATAAAAGCGAAAAATGCGAAATTTATAAACTGTTCCTCTTTTTTCCCTATTCTATCCTATATATATATATATATATATATATATATATATATATATATATATATGTGTGTGTGTGTGTGTGTGTGTGTGTGTGTGTGTGTGTGTGTGTGTATTTAGGGAGCAAATTAAAGACTAACAAAAAATTTTAACGATTTATGTTTTACATTTCGGATCATTTTTCTTGGTTTCCAGTGTTAGTTTAAATTTAAATTGTCCAATATCCGGGGCTTTCATATGACATCATGACATTATCAATGATTTTTTTTTCTTTCTGCTTTGTATGTTTCATCGTTTTTCAAATATCGCATTCATGTGACTTCCTCATAGTATCGCGTATTTTTGTATCATTTTGAATGAGCGTGTCGAGTTTTTGTAAAATATATTTAGTATGTTCATTCTTACATTTGATACATTTTATTGATGGTGTTATATATTTTGTTTTCATGCTTAATGCTTCTAATATCTTTAGTTGTTTTTTACAGTTTAAGTGGTATAAGACTTTTGTATTATTCGTAAAAACTTCTCGGTGTTTTGGTGCATTGTTTTTGTTGTTGTGTTGGTTGGTAATATGCGTTTTAACTGAACTATTGTCGGATAAATTAATCGGCGGGATAATGTAGTGGTTGTATAAATAATGAATATGTCGTCTGAGTTATTATTAGAGAGACACTTATGTGAATTCATAGACAGTGCTGGTTTGTTGAGGTTTTGATCGTTGTATGGTGATGATGATGATGATGATGATGATGATGATGATGATGATGATGGACTTAAAAAAACTTGCAGTCAGGGTTTTGTCGTTATGATCTTATGTAATACAGTTTTTTGTTTGCTTTGTGTTTTCTGTATAATCGGTTTCTATAGAATACTTTAATAGTTGTTCTCCACATTATAAAACGGTAAAATACTTCGGAAAGGACCAAAACCAAGAAATTTTATGAATAGACAAGCTAAAATCCGAAATTTTGCTGATAAATAAAATTGTGAAATAACATCGGTTTGTGATGAGTTGCAAAATTTTTGAGCGTATTTTGGCACAAGGTCACGAATATGGGGAACCTAGTGAGGCTCGAACTCACTACACAGCTATCATCATCAGCTAGACGAGCTCGTTTATCATTATTGTATGCTGATCTGCCTCGTGGTAATTAATAATTAGGAGGGGGGTATTTTTAATGATTTAAAAAACTTAATCAGTGTACTAACTTATGAGAGAGGCCCTTAAAGCAAAGATACATTTTGTTTTTTATAAATAGTATTAAGAAACATGAAGATTTAATTAGAGACAAAGAAAAGTGTACTGAACTACCGCGTACTATCAATGAATGCTAGACAATTTACTCCCAGATGAAAAGGAGACTTGAAGCAGGAATGATGTGGTTCTACAGAATGATGATCAGCATACCATGAACAGAACTTGTGAGAAAAGTGGACATTTTAAGGAAAGTGGATACAAAACGGACACTTGTATTTAGAATCAGAGAGACAATTGAAATATGAGATATATTGGGAAATTTGACACTCATAGGGACAATAGGAACAGAGGGAAGCCGCGGCTAACTTACATAACGAGCTAGTCAAAATGGATGGGAGGGATCGTAAAAAGACAAACATAGCTAAGTGCTACAAGGGATAAGAAGTTCTGGAGAAGCATGATTGCCCACGTCCTGAAGGGACACGGCACATAGAAGTGGATGTGATTTTTCGATAGATGGTCTATTACTTCTATGGATATGCATTAATCTCATGTCCTTATAATAAATTTAAAGCTATACAAATCTGTAGATAAAATCTTCATACTAAAGATCTCTAAATTACTTTATTAGCTTTACAATTTGCTTATCATTCCAACGTAAAAATACTGATAAGATGATAATATATCGACACCTAAAAGTTGGTAAAAGTTGATTAGCTGAAAATCTGTGTGCAGAGGTTTTTTTTTAAATTATTTTTTTTAAATACAGAAATAAGTCAAATACAGGCGGCTTAAATGTTTGTTTTATTCTACCGGAAACTGACAAAATTTCCAATATAGAACCGTATAAAACACTATTTCTTTTCGGTTCAAAATTGCAGATTATGTTCAAAATAATATTTATATCCTTTGCATCTTGCTATCCTATTTATAAATAATAAAAATAAAATAGAATAAAGTAATAATAATAATAATAATATTAATACATAAATGAAAAGAAAATGATTTAAAATAAAATAAGAAAAATAAAAAAAAAAGGTAAAAGTAAAATGAAATAAGAGCCTTATGTGGATGCCATGTGTCCAGTGGATAAAGGCGTTGGTTAGATCCAGTGACAGGACCCAAAGAGTGTGAGTTCAATACCCGGTTAAGGCAGTGGAGAACTTTCAGAGGGAAATTAGCAGGAGATAACTGATAACTGACATCCATCAAACATGGCACGTGTAACTAGAACGGTCTACCCCAGTGAGCGAAATAAAGGGTTCAGTTCGAAATTCCAACCACCTGAAGAGGGCCGGAGCGTACAACGGCCGAAATATTGTGATAAATATGGCGACAAAGATGAGGATAATAGTCCGAATAATGTAAATAATGTACATAATACCTCATCTCAGAAATATAGACATAATCCCAGCACTTGAAAATTGCTTCGGTATGAAACTCGGTGTTGTGCAATCAATGTAAGGCATTATGCATATTTTTAATATATATATATATATATATATATATATATATATATACTATCTATATTTCTCATGTTGTCTGTGTGTCTGTCGTGGGCGTTGTTACCTCGCTCAGGCTACATTTCTCACTCGATTTCGATGCGGTTTTCACCACAAGTTTGCAAATGGTTGCCGTAAGGACATGACGGAGCCCGATTTTTGAGTTTGGATTCAAGTTCCGAAAAAATCGATAATCGAAAAAATCGATAATCGAAAAAGTCTGCTTACAGAAGGAATGATCGCATTTCAACCAAATTTGACACCCTATTAGAGTCTACCATTAGAAGTGTTGTCCAGAAGTTTCATGACCACGGACCCCTAAACAGCGCGGAAAATCAATAAAACCCCAAAACCGATACGCCCAGATTGCGCCTGAACCGCATGTCGACTTTTATCGAAAACCGACCGGATTTCTGAGGAGGCCATTGGGAGTCACCATGTGAAGTTTCAACTCTGCCCCCCCCACCCCCAAACAGAGTGCAAATCGACAATCGGTCAACCCTTAAAAATGTTTTTCCGGTTGGGTATTTCCTAAATGCAGATTAATTTAAGGTCACGTTATGCGCGGGAAGAAACAGGTCAGTGCGTGCAGTGGAGTGGAAGAAACATTTGAGATTGGAATGGGTGCGGGGCCATTGAAATTCGGCTTTTTTATCCCTGCTACCACGTCTGACTTTGAGCCACGAATGACATATTCGACTTTGCACTTCCTTTATTCGCATCTTTACTGAAAAAACCCGCATACGTGCTGAGTGAAAATGGTTCCGCCCTCAGCAGTCCATTTTCCAATTCTTTAAAACTTTTCCCCTAGCCCAGGCGGCATCCCAGACATGACGAGGAGTTTTTGAGCTAAAACAGCAGGGCTTCCTCCCCATCCATTTCAAAGCTAATGCGGCAAACGGTTAGCGGATTTTCGTTGTCGCACAAACCAAACGAGCAAACACTTCATTGCAGCTCCTTGCATTCTCATCGCCGGCATCACGTGCGTTAGAGCCAAGCTGCATATGCAGCAGGTAGCTTAACCCCGTTTACGGCCAAGCCTTGCGCTTGCCAAATCATGCGCGGGTGCGTGAATGCGCGCTAGCATCTTCCATTTTGCGTGAGCTTATTCATTGGTCTAAGTCATGTCCATTGTCCAGGCTACACCAAGTAAGTCACGCTCCCTTTAAATATCTTCAGCGCGGCTGCATCCGCACTCACGTCTTGATTTGATCGCCATTAACGCATCTGTCTTTGGATTAATTGACAGCTTCCTGCTACCGCTAGTTACCTATTTGCTTAAACGTTTGCATTACCCATTTTATCTCCGCGTGCTGCCTCTACTGCGCAGCCCAGTCCATCTTAGCGTTCCATACCTATTTCTACCTTTTCGTAGTTCAGTTTTGCTATTAGACAGTTAACTGCTGTCGCAAGTTACTTCTCTTCTGCCTTTACTACTGCAGCCCAGTACACCTCAGTGTTTCACTACTTTTTAACCTTCAACGCTTCAAAGTTTTGGTTGCGTAACCTCTTCCTACAGCGACTTTTCGTGCTGCCAGAAAGCACGGCCCATGGCTAGGAGAAGATTTTTCCATACCGCTTCACTGCATTTTTAGTTTTCGTATACAACGAGGTTGCATCAACTTCTATTCGCATTATTACACAGCATTTCTAGAACCCTTCAAATGGTTCCTACACGACCAACATCCGTACGTCAGCAACTGAAGACCCTTAATACCATTAACGTTACACATGCAGAACAGGCGACTGCGGAGGAGCACATAATAACTCCGGTTACAGATGATCATCTACTTCAACCTCTGCTTTGCACTCTTCTGCGTGCCGTGGCGATGACCAACCCGGCACCTCTGCAAAGGCTGCAAAAACACCCAGGCGAGACAACCTTAGCAGGCGTTCTAAAAAAGCCTCACCGGCAAAGAGAAAGCGGGAGGAGAAAACCGAGGTAGAGGTCTCTTTGAGGCTTTCCAGTCAATCTCAACGGAGGCTGGATGTTTTGTCACATGAAACGCTTGGTGAGCCTAACTACCGTTTGTACTGCAAATCAGTTTACACATATTCGTTGAAAAGTAAGAGGAAACTACCTAAACGTTTGCAAGACAACAAAAAAGCGGCTTCATCACAAGCGCTTTTGCGGTCTCGACAGAGCCCGCATCGAAAAGCTACTCGCAATGCAGCCGACGCTGCTGCAACTTCCATTCGACGGTCCCAGGAGACCACGGCTGAAAAAACCGCACGTAACGCAGCGAAAGCTGCGGCAACCACCATTCGACGGTACCAGGAATCCCTGGCTGAGAAAACCGCATGCCATGCAGTCGACGCCTCTGCAACTTCTGCTGCAAGGGCGTCGGAAAGTTCCGCGCAAAAGCGCACAAGGCGGCAACGCGATGCAATTTTCAACTTCCGCTGCTACTGAAAGGCTTGAAAGGTTGCAGCGCCGCCATGCACAGCGAGGGCTCTGTAGCCCACCAAAGCAGTTTTGGTTTAAGCTGGCGTTCAACTATGAGCCAGTTTTGAGGCTTTCCGGTCGCAAAGACCTCCAAATAGGATCCATGTCAGTTGTCTGTGGGCATTGCAATGCCAAAAAATGGCCTGGAGAGTCTGCAGGTTTGTTTTGTTCAGACGGTAAGGTACAGTTGCCACCTTTTCAAGAGCTACCTGCTCCGTTGAAAGCTCTGTTGGAGGGTTCCAGTCCAGACTCCAAACATTTCCTCGCAAAAATCAGACAGTACAATTGTGCCTTCCAGATGACCTCTTTTGGTGGTAATGCCTTCCGCGAAGTCGCTTGGAATCCCACCTTCAAGGTTCAAGGTCAGGTTTACCACCGGATTGGGTCTCTTTTGCCGGAAACTGCCACTGATTCGGCCTTTCTATACTTCATTGCTGACTACAATCAACAGGCAGATGCCCGCATGGGCATTATTCCCGAGAACGATACAGGCCAGGACAATCATCCTCGCAGGGATATCATAATGAGTCTCCAGCAAATGCTCCACGAGACAAACAGCTATGTCCACAGATTTAAGTATGCTCTCGAAAATAACACTTCTTCTGATTTCATTATTGTAATTGAAGCTGACAAACGGCCTCAGGGAGAGCACGAACGTCGTTACAATGCTCCCGCAAGTAACGAAGTTTCCGTCATTGTCAGCGGTGATCAGCACAACAGACGTGACATTGTTATCGAATCGCGAGGCAGTGGGCTCCGAAGAATCAGTGAAACGCACCGGTCCTACGATGCACTGCAATACCCACTTCTCTTCCCGTACGGAGAAGATGGGTACCACTTTGGAATTCTGCAAAATGGGTCCACCTTAAAAACAGTGTCTTGCAGGTCTTTCTACGCCTACCTATTGATGGTACATGAGGGTGCATTCAATCATCTTCATCGAAGCCGGCAACTTTTCCATCAATTCATAGTAGACATGGCTGCTAAGATGGAATCCGAAAGACTCTGTTACATCAGATTGAATCAGACCAAGTTGCGCTGCGACTCTTACATTCACTTCCGTGATGCTTTACGAAATGACGCTGATCCACGCAATATAGGTAAGATGGGCATACTACCTGCAACATTCACAGGCAGTCCACGATACATGCACGTGAGGACGCAAGACGCGATGACATACGTTCATAAGTACGGCCGACCAGACCTATTCATGACTTTCACGTGTAACTCAAAATGGTACGCAATTGCTAAAGAACTTATGCCAGGGCAATCGGCCTACGACCGTGAAGACTTCATTGCGCGCGTTTACCATCTGAAGTTGGGAAAGGTAATGGATGTGATTACAAAGGGCCAGGTTTTGGGGGCTGTTTGCTGTCGCATGCACTACTATTGAGTGGCAGAAACGCGGCCTGCCTCACGCACATATACTAATTTGGCTGTGCGACAAGATTGAGGCCACAGAAATTGATCATCTTATTTCTGCTGAAATACCTGATCCGTCGGCTGACCCTGAATTGTCCGAAATAGTGACAACCAACATGATTCATGGTCCCTGCGGATCGCATTACAATTACACCATCTGTCACAACAGCGACGGCAAATGCACACGGCAGTACCCACGAGATTTCGCGAGCGAAACCATTACAGGGAGCGATGGTTATCCACACTACCGCACTTTTTGTCCACACGTCGTATGAAGACACGTCTGGGTACAGTAGAGTCCTAGCAAACTCGTCCTGTCGACAAAGTTTAAAGAACGCTGTAAGCGTTGTGTCTTAGGTACGCGCAACCACATCCATTGCTGTATCCGCAGAAAAATAACGAAGTTCGTCGTTTTCTAGGTGCACAGCAAGCTGGACGATTGCTGGGAAGCGTTCGTGGATGGGGAAGCTGAATATGTGCCAAGGGTCCTCTGTGCTGCTTATGACGCGCCCTGCAAAGAAGTCCTGGATTTCGTCTACGGAACCTTCCTGCCTAATACTAAACATTGCAGCATCAGTCCCTTTGTTGATTTACTTGCATACATACTTGATGGAGCGAACTGAATGGCAATATTCGACATTGATGTGCGCATTGAACGCTTTTGCTAGCAGGGGACAGTATGGCACTACCCATCTGTTATCCACTTGGTGGCCTTTACCACGGCTGTAAATCCTCCCTCAGCGAAACTCTTTCGCCGGTAGTGTGGATAACCATCGCTCCCTGTAATGGTGCGGGGCCAACGTTGAGGGCTATCCAGGCGTCGAAAAAGACTCGGAAGGGTATTCACGGTTCCCTCATCGCGACAGGAATGTTTTTACTTGCGACTCCTTTTACACGAAGTTAGTTGTCCAACTAGCTACAATAACTTACTTAATGGAGTTTTATGTGACACTTTTCGTGAGGCCTGCCTCTGTCTCGGCCTTTTGGAAGACGACAGCCAGTGGGATGCCACAATGGCTGAGGGAGCTCGTTTAACAATGCCCTCTGTTTTGTGCCACCTCTTCACCACAATCTTACAAATGTACGAACCCAAATCACTTTGGGACAAATACAAGGATTTTTGTCCGAAGACATACTCAGAAAAGTGCAACTGCTGTGTCCAACAATGGCTCTTACATTCAACGATGAAATTTACCATAGGGCGCTTATAATCATTGAGAACCTGTTTGTTGAAATGGGGGGGGATCTCTCGCCGCTATTGGGCTTCCAACGCCAGATCGTGTGGTTTCCTCCAGTCTCTCACCTGAGATTGTGCGGGAGACATCCTACTCTGTTGAGGAGCTCAACGCCTCTGTCACAACAAATGAGCCAAAACTTCTCATAGACCAAAGTGCCGTTTACGATGCGGTTCTTGCATCCACCAGGCAGGATACAAGATCAATTTTCTTCCTGGACGAGCCTGGGGGAACGGGAAAAACGTTTGTAACAAAACTGCTTCTTGCAGAAATTCGGCGCCATGGTGAAGTGGCGCTAGCAGTAGCGTCTTCAGGCATTGCTGCCACATTACTACCGGGTGGCCGAACAGTGCACACAGAATTTAAACTTCCGCTTGACCTGATTAAGGCAGAAACCGCTGTATGCAGTATAGCCAAGCAATCGGGTGTAGCAGAGGTACTCAGGCGATGTAAGTTCACCGTCTGGGATGAGTGCACTGTCAGTCCCAAAACTGCACTTGAGGCTGTAAACCGCTCTCTGAAGGATATTCGAAACTCCGATGACCTTATGGGAGGTATAACTGTCCTTCTATCCGGTGACTTTCGCCAGACCCTCCCCGTTGTACCTAAGGGGACAAGGTCCAACGCTATTCGAGCGTGCTTGAAATCGTCACAACTTTGGCCCACTGTTAGGCCATTGCACCTTACCACCAACATGCGTGCATACCTAACTGGCGATGTTGGGTCCGCCAAATTTTCGAATTCATTATTAGCCCTTGGCGAAGGTATTATTCCAGCGGACACTAATGGATTTGTAAACGTCCATGGGTTGTCTACAGTGGTCACAACGCCACCAACACTCAGGGAATCAGTTTTTCCTGATCTTTAAACAAACTACAACAATATTGAGTGGCTTGCTGGGCGGGCAATTCTTGCTTCAAAAAACACCACTGTGACAACTCTTAATAGACAGCTTCTGGAAACTGTGCCAGGGGTGTTTCACGTTTACAAATCCATTGACAGAACTCCAAACTTCGCTTAATAAGGCTCAAAGACAAACGCTGTCTGTCACTGGTGTACACTGAGAGGAGCAGTGCTTCTCACACGGCCAACTTTACGTAGCCTGCTCTCGAGTCGGCAGGCGCGAGGATGTGTTCCTTTATTCAACCTCGCAAAAAGCTAAAAATGAGGTCTACACTGAAGTCCTCAGCCAGTGATACACAAACTCCATTCCATTTTTTTCTTTCCATGCAAGACAATTTAGGTCCCAGCACTTTCACATCCGTACTTACTGCAAATGCTATTCTACACGTATGCTAATTTATTGGTTGCAATAGAAAATTTAACATCGCAGATTGCAGTTTGGATTTCCACAATTGACTGCTTTAAATTCCCATTGAGGAAAACCCAAACCGGTCGTTAATGACATCTTGCAAAATTGTAACCGATCGTATTGCAAAAACTGAAGAGATTCGTTTAATTGTCAGAGAAGTCGAGCGCGTCCACGTAAATCAGTACTCATTTTAGCGTTTGGGCATTTGAGAGAGTTGGGTATGGTGTAACAATGCATACTTCCGCTGCATACACCACTGCAGAACTGAAAAGACCTATTACTCTTCGATTTCAGTGGTCAAACTGAGGAAGCTTCTCGAGGAGAAACTTTACTCGAATATGTTGCAACAACATCTAACTGTTCACGCATTGTGATGCTGATTGTGGAAGCGGCAGCGCCGTCTTTTGGGCAAAAGATGCGTCCCTTTTTTGCATTCAGCGATTGGTTGCATACGAAAAGATGTCTCAAGATTTGAAGTTTTTGTGTTCAGCTATGTCTCTATTCAAAACCACAAATCCAGCATTCAATATGTTTGATTTGGCAGTTTTCTTGCATGGAAAGGAAAAATGGAATGGAGTTTGCTGAGGACTGGCTGAGGTCTTCAGTGTAGACCTCATTTTCAGCTTTTTGTGAGGGTGAATAAAGGAACACATCCTCGCACCTGCCGACTCGAGAGCAGGCTACGTAAAGTTGGCCGTATGAGAAGCACTGCTCTTCTAAGTGTACACCAGTGACAGACAGTGTTTGTCCTTGGGACTTATTAATTGTCATAGAAAAACATGGTGCGAATGGGAATGGGGATCTTCTGAAAGTGAAGGGTACATCGGCATCTGATGGATACAAATGCATCCTTGGGATAAGCACTTGATCCCCTTTACCGCATTATTGTGAAGCATTGAACTCATCGCCAACTAATGTATAGTTACAAGCATCAATTGTCTCTCCTCACATCACCATACCATATGTACAGAAATGAATGACCCTGACCAGATTACAGGCCCTTTCAAAAATGCATGCGAGACGCCTTCGTGCAGCAAAAAAATCGATAAAAAGCTCCGGTTCGACCCTGCCATTAGCTGTCAGTTTTTGACTTCTTTTCACGCCCAGGCTGCAATTAACGTCAAATGTCGATTCAACTTCCGACATTTACGGCGTCAATTCGTAACGGAGACAGATTTTCAATTTGAACTCAGGCTTTGAAAAAATTAATAAATCGGCTGGTACTCCGGTGTTTGGGCGGATTACATTCTAAAATTTCGGGCGTTCTTTACAATTCAACCAAAAATTCCTATGTGGCCCAGTTAGAGGTGCCTTGCATAGAATGCCGTGTGACCCCGTCGTGACTCAAAAATCGATATAAACCTCCGTGTTGACCTTGCCCTCAGCAGTCCATTTCCCACTTCTTTAAACTTTGTTCTTTCTCCCAGGCCGCATCCCAGATCCGATTTTTCAATTTAAGTCATTGTGTCATGCCGGAGCCCGATTTTTTATTTGGGACTCAAACTTTGTAAAAAACCGATTAACTCACAGGTGATACGCATTTTGGGGGTTTTAAGTTGAATGTCTCGCCTGCACTACGCGGCCCAGGACATCTCAGCTTTTCACCTCATTTGGGACTCTGTGCAGTTGACTTAATGTTGTTAAACACTTTTCAGCTCTTTTTATTTGAACTTAAAGTCGGATCAATGTATGTTTTCCAAAGTAACGGGTTAACAAAACAAGGGCAAGGGTTGGGAGTGAAAAAGTATTTGTTGTTAACATTGTTTTTTCATTCGGTTTTTCCAGTTACGAATCCTTTTTTTAAAGCTAATCGTTTTGTGTTCATTTTGTTTAGTTCTTTTTCGTAACAGATTTAATGTTTAGTATACAGCTTAGAAAAAATTTGCAGTGTGAGATAGGCAAGAAGTAAGGCATGTAGCAACATCAGCACAGCAAAGGGCACTCCTTTAAAGGCAAGGAAGGGCAAAATTTTTTTATGTCAAGTGATAGCGATTGCTGTATGAGTCGTACGATTTTTGAATCAAGCACGGGCAACGCCGAGCAACGCTGATAGTATATATATATATATATATATATATATATATATATATATATATATATATATTAAACAGGTATCTTATTTTACATTGAGCACCGTTTTTTTCTTACATTACAGAGTATTTATATGTATACGATCGCTCGCGCGTATACCTACCTTTATTTACTATATATTATATATATATATATATATATATATATATATATATATGAAATGACATTTTTATTTGTTCAAAAACTGACAAAAATTTATAATCAAGTTATATTAATATATCAGGAAAATAATATTCCTTGGTAGTAGTATTAATAGCAATTTTACAATATTCGTGTTCATTGGATATAAATATGACATTTAAAATTACAACAGACAGTGCTGTTTAGCAAGTAATTAAGGAAAGAAAGCGGGTATAAATGATGGTGAAGAAGTGACTAACAGCAGCTAATCAAGCGGCAACAGTCGTAATGTCAAAAATATAAAGAAAGGAATCGTAAAATATAACATGATAAGATCTGTATTTTTTAATAAAATAGTACATTATTTAGATGCGGACGATTGTCATCATCTTTGTTGTTATCAAAAAGTTTCGGCCGTTGTCCTCTCCGGCCTTCACCAGGTGCATGTCAATCCGTGTAACTAACAGGGAATTTCAAACCTAACTTATTATTTAATATATGAGGGTAGATTATTCTCGTTCCGCTGCCCATGTCTAGGAACATCACGTCTAGTTCTTATTTTAGTATTGCAGTTATTGCTCGCCTCGTTTCCACTGAGTTCAAATACATACATACTGCCCGGTGCAGGGATTGAAATCGCAAATACGATACGTGTGTACCTACGTATTTACTCCTCCAAAAATGCTTTGCGTGTTTTACAAGACAATCTGCTTCCCATTCATAAAACTGATGTATTGAATGCAGTGGATTAATTTGCGAAAAAGCCACTGCGTACAATTTAGATTGGGTAGGTGACAGACAGAAAAAGAAAACTTTTAAAAATTATAGTTTACTATAGCTTTTCTAATGTTTTATCCACTTTATTCCTTGAAGATGAAAGTTGGTGAGTAACAATCTCTTCAAAAAGAATATAAGTCATCTACTGAAAAGTTCACAGTCAGACCAAGTTACATTAAAAAGCAAAAACTCAAAATTTTCAATCTACTTCACCTTATTTGCTTCATAGCAACATCTACGGCAAAAGAAACGAAATTAGCTATTCTCTTCATAAGGCAATCATAAAGTCCTTCACATGGTTAGTATACAGTTGTTGCATAGCCGAAAATAGAAGGGAATTATCTGCTTGACCTTTTGTTATGTAACAAT